TAGCATGTTTCTGTAAACCCAACAGGAAATCCGCCATGTTGGAAAAACCGCGACCATGCCGGGCCATTTTTGCGTAGGGCGAGGACCCGTCCATCGCCGCTTGCGGCTTTAATTACTGTATTATGTTGTTAAGACGTTGCTGAGATGTTGGAGGAGTGTGTGTGTGTGTGTGTGTGTGTGTGTGTGCGGGCGCGCGTGTGTGTGTGTGCGTGTGTGTGTGTGTGTGTGTGTGTGTGTGTGTGTGTTTGGATCCTGTGCTGTGATTTCGTGTGTGTGTGACACAGCGCGCCTCTGATTGGCTGCTTCCTCGTCACGTGACGCTACATCCGCTCCCTGACTGTTGCTGTTATGACAACGAACTTTAAAAGTTGGATGAATGGCTCCGCAGAAGCAGAAGCAGCAGCGGCGGCTTTCCTCCGCTAAAGTGCCGCAGAAGTGTCTGAAGTGCTCCGTGACGCTGACCGTCCAGGCAGTAAGTCCGTCTGCGAGCTGCTGCTTCGGTACAAAAACCCAGAACCCGACCCGGTGCCGTGGTTTTGGTGACCAAAGCTAGCTAACGAGCTGACATCCTCTTCCTTTCCTTCATGCTAATTAACCGGCGGGTTAGCTAACAAGCTAACATGTAGCTAGGCTATCCAGGTTTAGATACTGTACGTAGAGCTGAATAGTTTAGCTAATTAGTTCACCAGCTCTCATAAATCCTCCTCAGGATTAACACTAACCTCATCGGTGACGCTCGTAGCTCCCAAAGCTTCACTTCATTCACTACAAACTGATAGAAATGATGATAACAACAAACTAATAAACATCTACCTGATTAAAAATAAAGTTTCCCCGCTTTTCATGTTGCTGTCATTAACATATCTGCGTTTAAATGTGAACAAACAAACAAAAACATACCCATGAAACCCTTTATTTAATAGAGATTGTAGTATTTCAGTTCATAATGACACCTTAAAGTGACCTACAGTCTGCTTTCTGTTTAAATGTGCACGGGCCGCTGTGGCTCTTATAGTTTTTGGGGGTTTTTTTTCCAATTTTTTTCAACTATGAATTTTCTATAATGCATATTATGTACAATGAAAGAGATACATTCAGGTTACAGGTGCGTATGAGAGCGACAGGCATTTCCAAAAAAGGACTCACTGTCTACCAAAAATACGTTTATTCACCTTGTATTAGTGCAAAACCTTCATCAGACGGATGGTTTGAGAGACGCCATCTTAAATATGAAGCGACTGCAGCTCAGTGACCAGTCAACATTCATGAAACACACAACATCTTTCCACTGAATGACAACTTTCACTAACGTATGTAATCTAGCAATCACAGGTATATACCAAAACTGTTTACATAGAATTATTATAATAATTTATCAGATTTATTTAGCACTTTTCTAGGCACTCAAAGACACTTTACAGCTGGTTGCCACAGCTGCCCTGGGGCAGAATGGCAGCCAGGCCTCCGTCAGTCCCTCTGACCACCACCTCAAACAATCCATTCATTCACACCAGGAGGTGGTGAAGTGTCTTGCCTCAGGACACACCGACCATAACACTGGTTGCAGGGCAGAATCGAACCACCAACCTTCTGATCGCTGACCAACCCGCTCTACCACCTGAGCCACAGCCGCCCAGTTAGTAACATCCTGATATATGAGTGATTACAGTTCCTTCAGGAAGAGGGAAATAATATTCCAAAAGCACAATCAACAAACTGATCAACTCCATGTGTCGCACATGTGATGTTCTGTGACTGAGAGGATGGACGCAGTCATTGTGGATTCTCTCCATCTGCACATCAGTATTTCTAGTATACGTGGTTGTTTCATGATGTTGTAGAGATGCCTCTAAAAAGAATTTATGACGTTTAATAAAATATGCATGCTATAGTATATTTTTGTTCACGTTAAAATGGTCTGAGCTGTTCTGTAAACGTGTGATTGTGGCAGTTTTTCATTAGAAAGAGAATAAATCCAGAAGTTGCTCACTAAATCAGTTGTATGCTGACGTGTTGTATGTTTGTGTGCAGGTCACATGCCCCGGAGTGCTCCTCTCCAAGAAGAACCAGATCTACCTGAGCGTGTGCATCATGGGCCAGTACAGGAAGACGCCCTGTTTGCCGCCGGTCTTCCCCTTACGCTTTCTGCACAAAATGGTTTTTGTCAAGGTGAGAATAATGCAATTTATTACAGAAATAAAAGATGCTTCCCTGGCCGCCATCTGCCTGTGGCTGTTTGGTTCAGACTTCGCAGTGGAGACGGTGAGAAGGTTAGAGGCTTTATGTCTGAACCCGTCCAGCGTAGCGGCATGTATTGATCGTACAGTAGATTCATCATAAAAACTGTCCATCCAAGGGTGATATTTATTTATTTATTATTTCATTTAATGCCTTTTGATCTTTCTTAGATGCACACGTTCACTCGGAGCAGCATTTAGATTATTAGACCGCTGAGGTGATTTTAGGTTTGATGGACGTTTGTTTGCATTTTTATTTTTGATACTAAGCCGTTAGTTCATTCATTAGTAGAACAATATTGAAAATAATCCTCAGGTGGAGCCTCATAACACTGAAACCAGTTTCTGGACTTTTTTTATTTGCTCCTGTCACATTTTTGCTGATCGTGAGCTAATTGTTCACTGAAATATAAACTCCTGCTCCAACCACAGCGAGAAGTCAACTCAGAAATGTCTTTTGTGTAACAGAATTATAGTTTCATTAATCATAAAAAAAGAAAAACTAAAAGTCTTTGATGATTTATTCTACAAAAATTTAAGAAAAACCCAGAACCAGAGTGCCGCTATAGCTCACCTGGTTGAGCTGGTGTCCAATGTGCAGGGATACAGTCTCGATGTGGAGGTCATGAGTTCAAATCTCGCTCATGGCCCTTTTCTACATGTCCTTGTCCCCCACTTTCCTAGCATAGCAGCTTGTTTTGCTTGTACTTTAACCTGCGGTGGATTAATCATAAAACGTGGACATCACAGTGTTTTTTCTAATCAAATCTTGAACATATGTTTTGCTTTTGCTTCTTGTACTCATAGACTTGGGGCAGCATTTAGTCGTAGTTACTCATCGAGTAGTAAAAAGATTGTTTGGCCACTGCAGTGATTTTTGAATTTGTTTATAAGATTATAAGCAGCAGATTGAACATCACCACCCCAGCTGCCGATAGAAGCGGCCTTCTGTCTCCGGGGAAAATGGCAGCGTTCGACACTGACCTGTCTGCCTGATCTTGTTATAAGTATTGATTTGCTTTGTCTGTGCTCTGTCTGTTCCGCCAGACTTTCCCCGGCGTTGTTGACCCTGCTGATGTAGCTGACCTCCTCGAAGGTAAACGGCCGTCTGGGATTTGCCTCCTCATCTCTTAGTCCCGAATCCCGTCCTATGCAAGCTTATGGGCTATTAGCCGAGATAGCGATCATTAGCTCACAGTCTGTTTGCGCTCTCCTCTCCTTTTCAGCTGACACGACATCTTTTGAGCTGATTCAGTTGGTGCCTCCAGGTATGCTTTCTGATGATGCCATCTGGGCGCGTTAAGTCCCTACTGTATCCAGTCATTACGCTGCAAAAACAGCGCCTTTAACTCGGATTGTGTGTGCTCCTGTTTTTTGTCTGTGTGTGGGCTTTTTAGAAGGTGAGATCTTAGCCACAATGACGGAAAGCAGCAGAGACTTCCTGTATCCTGGTCCCAGATTGAGCTCCAGAGAAGGAGCCGCGGAGAGAGAGATGCTGATGAAAAGATCCTCCTCCTTTCCTGTAAGCTGTGTTCCATTTATTCCTTTCATGTCTTTGGTAATCCTCCTTCCAACACCTGCACCCGTAATTATCAGACTTCTAGGAATTAGACTGAAGAATGCTCTGAAGAGTTGACGGAGGAGTAGAAAAGCTCTTTGCTGAGTGTGAGACACGTTTATCGAGTGACTTACTGCTGCTTACAGCAAAATGCAGAACGTCTTTGATTGATCACGTGTATGATGAGAGAAGGAGCTGCAGATTTACCCCCACATCCGCTCTATTGTACACTATTTACCAATGATGCTTACATTTTACTCAGTGGAACGTTACCCTACAAAAACATATATAATATTCACCCCCTTTTATACACTTTCCCTGTAAAATAGATCTTTGTCTGCGCTGTCTGATGGTACCAGCTTGTTTCAACTCTTTATTAAATCTACATGAGGTTCATACTCAGAGAAATGAACCCAGGTTTGTAAATGTGAAATTAGCAACAAGCTAATATGTTTGAATGTCTAGTAGGAGAAAGTAAGGACTCATTGTTGACACAGTTAGCATGATGCATGGCCAGTAGCTGATGTACAAAGTGGTTTGACATCATAGCAAATATTCATGTCAAATGCAAATAATAAGATCAAACTTTTCTCTCAGTAGTTTTACTTATCATGACCAGTGAACTCTGTACAATCACACATGATAGAATCTCCCCTCAGACTTTGTTAATGTCTTAAATAACTCCACATTCAGCTTCAACTTCTGTTGTTCAACATCTTCTTAAAATTCTTTTTTCATTTTTTAAAATCTAGTACAGCAGCTGTTATGCGCGTCTATATATTTTTGTAACTGCTTTTCTTGCCCACCTCGCGTCAGCTCGGTGTGAGTCATGTGTGTTTTGGGATATGTAAATCGCAGCACTGCAATATGCACGTCTGTTACAATCAAATGAGTTCACACGATGCTGAATGAGCGAATCAGCGGCAGGTAAAACTGTCTACCAGAGTTTTTAATCTGCTTCACGTCCCAGCATTCCCACGCTGGTGCACAAGCAGCAGCGACTAGTTCACGACAAGGAGCAGCAACCCAGGAAGCATCGACAGTGTTTGTGTAGTTACTGTCACTGCCAGAAGAGACAAAAGTTCAGCACAGTGCACACTTAAAGTACATTAAAGTTATTAAAATCAATGCATTTCACAGTTGATTAGCTCTGCAATGCATTAAGGGTATTTATTCTCCAAGCTGTTCCTTATTGGTGTTTTTATTTTGCAAAATGGCAAAGTCAACTCACAATTCCACTTGTTTTTGTTTTTAACAAAATAACCAAGTAAACAAATGATGTCTTCATGTATAGCCCTTATTGTAATTTCATTTTATCATAGTAATAAAACTAAAATGCTCAAAATGATTAATATTATCACGCTCGCACTTCAAAGTGGTGCAATAGGTTCATTTTCACAGTCAAGAGAAATAAAAATAATTTGGTTTGTGTAGCGTTGTAGTAAAGCTACTATACTGAAAATTAACAACAGAAAGTTAAATTTCCAAAGCGTTGAAGCAAACAGCAGCCACATCTGATTAAAGGTGTTTAGGAAGCTTGTTGTGAAGCTCAGGTCCTGCGTATTAAGCTGTGCTTTGATTGGAATCGTGTTAAAATGTGGCACCTTTAGCTTGTGCTGTGTTGCGTCAGCGTAGCCTGAGTTTATGAGTAAACTCTAGCAGCAGTAAATGCAGCTCTGTTACTACGGATTGTTGAAGCACTTGCATTGCAGCAGATGTAAACAAAGACTCTGGCCTCAGCTCAACAAAGGCGACCCCGATCTTTAAGATACGACTGGAACATCCCCACGTCAAAGGATTGAAGGATTTTTATCTTTATCTGTCACTGAAGTCCAGAATGTTCCTTTAAGCAGTTGGATAAATACGGACCCAGATACCTGAGAACGAATTCAAATAACATACTGCTGAACTGGCTGAAGGGGGGAGGATGTTCCTGTCAATGCATTCAGACAGAACTCACATGTCAGAGGAAGCCCGCACCGTGCTCGCCATGTGATCCAGCGTGATCGACACCAGCGCTACACGTGTCATTCATTACCTGCACAAGATTGTTGCTTCCTCAAAGTGAGTCTCCACCTAATCTCGGCGGCTCTGCACATGACAGACAGGTACACTACCCAGATAACCAATTCAAAAGCACTGCCTTGTCTTAGACGCTACTATTTTCTTCAGAGAAGATGGCATTTTCCTTACGCGGCTGTCAACTATCATCGCTATACAGACAAGAAAAATAAACCGAGGACTTCCTGCCTTTTCAGCCGGTCCTCGTCTCGTATCTTTCTCTGTTTCTTCTCCTCCTCGTCTTATATCATCTCCTCCTCTGTCTGCCTCCTCCTGCTTTCATTCCTTCATCTCCCCATGTCTGCCGCTCGCTTTATTCCATCCTCCCCTTGTCCTCCGAGGCACTAACTGGCATATTTAAATGTCTTTAAACACCACTCCCCTCACCGTTGCTTTCATGTGTTTGTGTTTGAGGCCTTACATAGCAATTTAGATGTCGCTCTCCAAATGCCATATTATTTAAACATCACTGGAGCCTTTTCTCTTTTCTGCAATTTGTTTTCCTCAGACCAGGCATAGATTGAAGATTTGCGGTTGTAAATTGGTGTTCCGAGCGGCGCCGTTATCTGTCCTTTTGTCTTCATCTCCCCCGTTAAAGGTGTTGTGTTTGTTCTATTGTCCCTCTCCCTCCAGGGAATCTCCCCCAAAGTGGAGTTTACCACCACATCAGTCATCGAGGAGAGCGATGGAGGAGACAGCCGGACCGCCTCACCTGTAAGTGTGTCCTTTTATTACATGTTTAGGTCCGTGCAAACACGACACAAACACGGGTCCGGTTTCTGTCCGTCTGCGTTGCTGTAGAAGGACTTTGTGAGGAGTGTTTGAACACAGCTACATGCTCACTGCGCGAGCGTTGGCCACAGCCAGAACAGTAAAGATTGATCTCTAGAGGGCTCTAATGAGTGGTATCGCTCGCCATCGCGTTTGTCTGTTTCCAGCGTACATGCCCACCTTCTATTGTTGCCATGGCTACTGCATCTATCTATCCATACTGGCAGTGTTTCAAGGGTATCTGTTCTCTCCTTGTGAATGTAATTACGGGGAGGCAGATCTGTGATGCTGATAGTGAGGCTTCTCTCACATGTCTGACTAGCTGGGAGTTTTTTTTTTTTGTACCAGTCAGTCAGTCAGTCAGTTTCTTAACTATCCAGGCGGTGGCTCACCTGCATCTCTTCAGCTCATCCCTGTTGACAGATACCCAAGTCCGTATAATCACTTCTTTTTCTTCCTGTTTCCTTTTCAAATGTAGTTTTATGACATGTTCCAATCAGTAGCTGCAGTCTTTCAGTTTAAACAGGTGGTTTAATTTATCCACTGATGCAAAAGAAATAAATAAAACTATCTTTAACAAATTAATTCATTCCCTGCTCTCAAATTCTCAGTTCTGAGTATTTGCTGTCTTTATAATGGTAAATCACATACTCCACCTTCACTGTAGAAGGTTTATCGGTGGTTTCATTTTGTGGATCAAACAATTCATTCAGGAAAGTATTTAGTAGATTGATTGATCCTTAGCTGCAGCCGTCTTTAACCCTCTGAACCCCAGCTGGAATATAAAGTCCTGCATCTCTGTGTGAACAGCCAAGCAGAGACAACTCACAGCTGTCTTTTGTTTACTATATATACAAACTTATGCCTTTATTTCTAAAAAGAAAAAATGAAGTTTGAATTTCTCTGATTGCTTGTTTTACAAAAAAAAAAGAATATCTACAACAATTTGCGAAGTGCCCACAGGTGTTAATGCTGGAAGAAAATGTAAAAAGCAATTTTCATAACAACGCTACAACTTTAAGATGTTTCACTGAGCTGAATGCATCTTTCAACTCGCTGATAACTTGCTTCTCTTCATACTGTTCATAAGTCATTCTGTGTTTATTTTATTACTCAGTCATGTTTTATTTTGCTCCCAGTCGCTCTCATTTGTTCCCATCCTCTCTGCTCTGTGTAAACACAGCCTGCAGTTCAGCCGAACAGTCCCTGAATGTTTCACACGTGACTGTTGATTACAGCAAACAGTTTGCTTTTGCCAAATGTTTTAATTACACATGTAGAATGTAGTAATTTAGATGAAATGTCACAATTTTAATCTTAGTTTTGGGTCGTTTTTCACACCTCATGCATGATTAATTCAAGAAAAATCAGAATTACAGTTTCAAGCTACAATAAATGGTGTAATTCTGGCAATTATTTAAAAAAAATAACACGTCTTTTAAATCTGCTGGGATTGAAATGGTCGAGTATCATCTGCTCATTTACTGCTTCTATTCTAACATACAGATTTGCTGCCAAAAATAAGATCGTCTTCTCTTTGCTAGTCCTCTGTGAATCTACATATACATGTGTGTTCTAGTTATTTCATCAGATGGACAGTAAGAGGACAGAATAACGCTCCAACGGGGGACTGAAGAAAAGTGTGACTTAGAAAAGCAGGATGGCTGAAATATCTTTCATAAACTGTACTGTTAGAAACATGCGATCCATCACACAGCAGTTGGCATGTTGTGCCAAAAACACCACCATGCATTTCCCAGGTGTGGTCACCTAAGCTCAGCTATTTGTTTAAATGGGATGTCAGTGACAGCGAAGCAGATTGTCAGTGTTCTCGCGGCCCCTCGGGGGGATGTCTGGATCAGAGCACCGCTGTGGCTGTCAGACTGTAGAATTTCTCCATTTTCTCTCTCCTAATGGCTCCTCAGCATAGGCATTTCCCTGTCTACCTGCCCACCCAGCTCACAAATCATGTCCCGTTCTAATGGAGATTTAGAAGGATGGCGACTTCCACAACACCTCTGATAAATACACACCAATAGATTCAGTCTTTTATAGTAACATATTTTATTAGGTGTTATAATTCTTACTTAAATATCTTTGCATTTCAGTTTGATCAGCTCTGTCTATAATCGCAGCAGCCAGTCAGCTGTGCATCCTGTCCATAAACATCACAGAGAAAACCAAAGACACAGTTTGTGGCTTTAGTTTAAGGAGGTTCACTCACAGCATTAACAGGTGCTGAGGTGGAGTTTGTTGCTTCCAGATGTTTGTAAGAGTTTTTCTTCTGAGTTTGTTTCAGCCTCAAACAGCAGCAGGATCCATGTAAGCATCTACAAAGCAAGAGCTGTACTTCATTAATTACTTTTTAATTATAAATTACCCCTGACGTGGCATCAAGCTTGGTAAGGATCTAACCGTAAACAGCACCGTGTTCTTTTCTTCACCTCAGACAGTCACAGCTTAGGAGCTGCGTTTAAATCGTTTCTGACACAGTTGAATCCTGAGCTCCATCACAGCTGGATAAAAAAAAGAAGTGTTTTTCTGTCATATCAAGCTTTTTTATATCAGGGAGGTTTTTTCCATTTCACAGCAGGATAATTGCAGCAGTGACATTATTGTGTGTTTGGCTGCTTTATAGAACATGACCTCTGTAACCGCTCAGCCAAAATATGGCAACAGGCAGTCGTATGACAATGAAAACGCATTATATTGCAGTTAATGTGGCTGTAGTTTGATCATTTATCATCACACATGGACAGAATTTTAAATGCTGAAACCATTCAGTGTGTTTATCTTAAGTGTAGGTGAGCTTGTTTCCCCTTCACTGTATTAGTTTATAGACATCAGATAATTAGTGACATTAACTGTAAAATAAGAAAACAAAACGAATCAATTAACTTTCATATTGCTAAGTTTCAACAATCCTTGAAGTCTGACTTCTGCTCAACATTTATCCAGTGGTCTGTAAATAAATGTGGCCCACACATCTATGCTTTTGTCAGGATTAATACATTTTGTTCGTTTGTCCTTTTTATCCCATATCTTGTTTTTTAACCAGCACCAACACTTTGGTTTTCCTCGTCTCTTTATTTCCACCTGCTTAGCGTCAGCATGTTGCTGTTGTCAGCTCGGTGGATGTATTAGCATGCTGACGTTAGCATGTAGCTCAAAGCAGCCCCGTGCAGCTTTACGCGGCCGCCAGCACATTAACCTTGTTATTATTTATCAGCGTCCCGAGCTTTGTTGAACGGCGTCTTTATCACACAAAGCCAACAGTGGAAATCACAGCTAATCACATCAGACAAGCCTTCGCCACTCAGCTGGCGACGGGAAAAATGACTCACTCCCAGCGTCCGTCCACCAGCGAAGAAGAGAGAGGAGGAAGTCAGGGATGGCGGGGGGTTCGGAGAGGAGAGCCCACTCGTCTTAATTCCATTAAATCAGATCTCTCTCAAATGGCAGCCTCGATGAGGATTTATTCATAATTTAGTTTCTCTTAAAAATAGTTTCAATGTTGTGTGATTTCCCTAATTAGCATTTAGATTATCTTTGTTTTACAGCCAAGCCAAGCAATGGCTCTTTATCATATTAGACTGGAGATGGCCATCAAATGCAATTAACATTTTATCTTAACTTATTTATCCCCGGTTGGCATTACCTGCAGGAAGTGGGATATTGCATCGGAGAATGATGTTAGTGGCCATTAGAGTTATTGAAGTAATTCTGCAGAGGTTGTCTCCGTGGCAGGTTCCGACTGCAGGAGCCGTCGTTGTTGTAACACTTAAGCTGAATGATTTAGCTAATGGTTTAATGGTTTTGTCCGGGGAGAGCAAGTCCGTGTCAAGAGCCGGAGCAGCTGCTTAAAGGGCAAAAAATGGAACAAACAGCGGTTAGCAGACGAATCTAAACAGCTCAAATGTTGTGTGTGTCGCCCTAAAATAGAAACGAGGGTTTGACCTGTTGACCTTTAACGAGTTTAAGTGATTATATGCATAATGTGTTGGAGGAAATATTTGAAAATAAATACTGAAATAAGTGAAACATGCCGATATTGAAAAGTTGGGAAAAGTAGATTCTAAACGTTACTTAATTTAATTTAAATCAAGTCATATCTGAAATCTAATTTTTGTTCTTGTATAATGTTGCTTTATGTACCCAATGGAAACTTATAGGTTAAAAATGAATTAATCAGGGTGCCGCTATAGCTCACCTGGTTGAGCTGGCGTCCCATGAACATCCTGATGTGGAGGTCATGAGTTCAAATCCCACTCATGGCCCTTTCCCACGCGTCCTGTCTCTCTCTCACTGCACTGTTCAACAAAGGCCAAAAAAATTAATTAATCTACCTTTTTCAGGTGCCTGAATGTTGGTAACAGGGTGGCGCCAAATATAGCAGATAACAAATAAAATGTATGCCTGTGATACCTGAGCTGAGCTAATCAAGCTTTTTGTAGTTGATTATTGATGAATACATAACAGAACATTGAAAAAGAGAAGGTTTATTTTTCAAACAGTTTGAAGCCCAAATGTCCTCCAACTAACACTTTTCTTTATTTCTCTCTTATATTTCTTCCCTGTACTCCAGACCTGCCGTCTTTCTCCGGTGAGGCCGTCCTCAACCCCAGCGAAGCAGCCTTCCAGCGGGCATTTGTCCAGAACAGATAATGGGAACCGTGCCTCTGTGAATGTTGGGAAGGGAAAGCTAAATGTTAAGACTGCAACTGCAAACTCTGCACCGCCGTCGACATCCAGACGCTGTCCTCTTTCATCCTCGTCTGGCAGCGGCCCTCAAAAAAACAAGAAGGACAGAAAACAAGCTGTGGCCAGAGTTTGCGAGGACTCTGGCTACCAGCAGCCCACCGTTTCCTCCAGGACGAGAGCCCTGTCCCCTTACACCCACCGCAAGATGTGCCAGCTTTCTGAGGACGCCAGGCAGAGGCTCCACCACCTCCAGCTGGGGCCTCACCACTTCAGGAAGGAGACCGAGAGCCAGCCGCCCTTCCTGGTTCGTTACATTAACTCCTCTAAAGTGAAGGCGGCTTACAAACATAATGGCACGGCGGTTTGTTTAATGCCAACAAAACATGTGTTCGGTGCACAGGGGTGTGTAAGATTAATGGGAGCTGATGTAGTTCAAACCTCAGTGGGAGCTTCCCAAAAAATTTAGCTTAATCTAGTGGGCAGATTAAGTGGGGAGGCCATAATAGGAAAGCGGCGTTAATCTTTTTACCTGAGCCGTTAATGGATTTTGACGTCACGAAAGTGTTTCGCTATGTGCGCGCGGAATATGGCCGATTATCCTCACTGAGGGACCCGAGGAGGCTTTAGCGGTGCAGCCTGGGACACAGGTAGCACTTTAATTCAGCCTATCAGAGGTCTGCATGTACAAAGAAGAGGTTTTGCAGAATGTATATAAAATAAAAACCACAACACAGCCTCTAGCCGTCTGCACCTCCTTCCCTCTGCTTCTTCATTTACATCACATCTAATCCGGAGGTATAAATATCAGAATCCACTTGCACGCTGTTATTAAAAGGAATGATTAGATGGTGCTTTGTTGTTTTTTTTGTCACACACACACAAACTGAATTTAGTCGCAACGCAATGGGCGTTTCATTAAAGACACGAGCACGCTTTCCCGCTTCTGGATTTCCTAGGGGAATCTTCTTTTGACAATTAACCCTGGTAATTGAGAGTCAAGCTGCAATTAACAAATAGATACCTAATGAAGTAGTTTAGCCCCACGGTGAATGCATTATCAGCGCACGTTTCAGAGCCTCAGCTGCCGGTTTGTGTGTCGAAGGAAGCGCGCTCCTATAAATAATCCGGCCTGCGTTCTCCGACGCGTTGTTCCGTCTTTGTTTTCTCGACGCCTGATTGTGATGCTCTCAGGGAAATGACTCCGATGACAGACAAATGGCTTAACAGTGAGCTTTTACTTTATTCCGCACAAACGGAAACAAACGAGTGATTGTGATTAATGCACTCCGTTGTTTATTTCATTTGCGCGGTGTAGCCGGCGCAGCATTTGTTTTTGTCGTGGCGTTTCTTGTTTGATGAATTGCGGGATTGATTAATGCACCGGTTTAAGGATGCTGTTGAAAAGTTAAGATAAAAAAAACTTCTCGCTGTGAGTCAGTGCAGGTGTTTGAAAATAAATAAAAGTAAGTTAATCACACTGTAAATGTTTTGTGTTGTGTGTTGGCAGGTCTCTCGCTGCAGTAACGTCTCTTGGATGGAAACACCTTCGTCCTCGGCATTACATGGGAGTTTACATCGACGCTCTGTTAGCTTCTCTGCTGATCATACAGGTAAACCAACACCTGAGACATGTCACACCTACAGCTAGAAACAAATAGTTTAAAATCCTGTACCAAGTTAAGTTCTTCACACAAACAGCAGTCGTCTGCAGCCATAAACCGTGTCGTCAAGCAAATTTAAAGTGAAATGTTGCTTCAAACAAACAAAAAAAGAAAAGCAAATTAGACTTATTTCTATTAAGTCCTTTGGAGTGAAATAGCTAAGCAGCGTAGTGTCATCAGAAGGTGGCAGTTAGAACAACATGGCTGTGATAAACAGAGTAAAACAAGAAAAAAACAAAGGCAGCAACTAAAAAATACAAAGAGAAGGAAGAAACAAACCTGTCTGAGAAAGGAACACAGAGCGAGGTCTATTTTCAATTAGACAAGTTTTACAGATAGTTTCATGTCAGCTTGGATGATAAAATCTGAAATAACGGTTCGTTATGTCAGAACTTGTTTGAAAAATTATGTGCATCAACTCTTTTTCAAAAAGTTAAAAACAACCCCAAGCAAGAATAAAAACATGAGGAGGTTTGACTCCTCATGGCGACCATAACGTCACCCAGTGGTTTGTTGGCTACTGTTTTAAAGTCTTGAGTTTGGCATTTGGCTGTCGCTTGTTTACTCTTTTGAATCTGGACATTACGATGGAGGGAAGTTATTACTGAGAACTTGAGGACGAGGCAATCTGTCAATCACCAGGAAGCTCCGCCCTAAAACATACTTCTTTTTTACTTCCAATGGGGGCGTAATTTACAAAATAAACATTACGCTGTATTCAGAAAGTCTTCAAGTCAGCAATTGAGAGCTTAAACTTCCAAGGAAAATGAAGAGCAGGCTCATTTTCTTAAAGGCTTCTACAACCAGAGGAGTCGCCCCCTGCTGGCTGTTAGAAGTAATGCAGGTTTAAGGCTACGACTATGGAAAAAGTGTCTCCATTCTCTTTTTTGCTCTAATGCCTTTAATAACATCTTCATGATCTTAATGAAGACTTCTACACACATGCACAGATGTATACACGCTGCCTTGTTCAGATGTTTTAAGGTGGAAAGTGTCCTTATGCTAATGTTTTAGAAATAAATGGTTGTTGTTATTTAGAGGCGGTACCGTAGACAGCATGTCGTCCAACAACTAGTCTGAATCGTCTCTTTCTATAAAAACCTTCACTTGTCTTTGTCCTTGCAGATTCGTCCCTCCTCGGGAGTTACAGACCAAGAGCAGCCAAAGTGAGTCTTAATTATAATATTTCAAACTGGAAAACACGACGAGCTCCTGTGTTGATGCTACAGGACTTATCCTAACCCAGACCTACAAACGGATATTTTAACGTCCGTTTGACTTTTTTATTATCAGGTTGTGTAGACCGTCTGAAACATGTGTCGGCCTCGTAACACCTTCTTCATTAACATTAATCTGCCTGAAAGACATAATTAATGTTCTTAATGCTGTGGTCAGCTTCAGCAGATGAGTCTGGTATGAGAATGTAGGTAAAAATAAGACCTGCTGGAACTTGTTTTATCCCACATGGTGATGTGAAAGTTTACCCAAAATGCACTTTTAAAGTTTTCTTGAGTGAATTATCAGAAAGCAGAAACACATCCAGGCTACCGATGTCACAGGCATCAAACTGCTGCAGTTACATCCGGCGGTATTGATTGAAAAAATTGTGCTGAACACAAATAGGATTTTTCCTTTAGATTGTGACACCTGAAGTGGGTATAAAATTGATCCGTTTGCAGTTTAAACACGGCTCAAATGTGTTTTTCAGCCCAGAAGATTTCACGTGTCAGTCTCCTTTACTTATGACATTACTAGTCTAGTGCTTTGAAATCTCAGGAAAAGTAACACAAATTAAAAAGCGCACATTTTTGATCCACACTTATCTACTTGAAGGTCCTGTTTGGCATAAAATATTTATAGTATGAAGGTAAAATTCTGCATGGCTTTGCTGGAATGACTCGGTGTTTGTCGCTCGTGGATTTAAAATGTTTCCCGCGACAGAAGAGAATTCACGAGCAAAGAAAACCTCATCTAACTTCTCAACTCTATCGCCTCGTGACCTTTTCTAGGTGGAATCGGGTTCTGTGAAGGTCCAGTCGCCTCTGGAGACGTCGTCTAAACACCAACCCCAGATCAAAAGCCCCGCGAGGGGTTCTGCCTCGGCTCAGTCCAGCCGGGCTCCGTCACACTCCAGAAGTCCTCTGAATGTCAGCAGCTATTCCCTCAGAGAAAGGTGAAAAGCCTTCCCTTGAAAATGTAGAAAATGTGTCAAGTGTTTGTAGAACGAATGGATGCGTCAGAATCCAAACCGCTTTTCCTCACCTCTGTTTTTAATCCTTGAAGAATTAAAAGTCCAGTTATTCTTTATGCCTTGCACCTGGACAAACTGCAGACTGGTGGAGTTTGTCTCTTTCATATTTTAGTCTCCATTAATGACTAAAAATATCATTTATGTCTGTTCAGAAGTAGGTGTCAGTTCATCTCAGCCTACATACCGTCCACTGGAAAACCATCTAGAGTTGGAGTAAGAATCCTAAATTTTGATCTCTCCTTCCTAATTACCTGTTGGAGAACCCTGTGTGCAGCGTTCCTGGATTAGGCCCTAAACCGGGCTAGCAAGGCCGACTGCATCACAAACCCTCCTCCTGTTGGACGTTCTGAGGAAACGTTGGAAATAAGCGGCTAATAGCATGCTCGCCTGTGTCATATCTTAAGATATTCATCAGCGACACACTGTCAGGATCACCTCTGAGCCCCCGGTTTGGCTTTTCTGGCCGCCAAAACAATCTGATTGTCCACATACCTGCGCCCGAAGCAGGAGCGAACATAATCCTCTTTTTTTTTTGTTTTGTTTGTGGTGTTTGCCCTGAATTTATCCTGATCCATCTGTGTAAACCGTTTGTGTTTGCTCAAAAGATCTTAAAAGCAAAAGAGACACCTGTAGGAGTTTCCGATGGCAGTGTACAGCAAATATATGGAAATCCCACGAGGTGTTAGTCATACGCTGCTGCTGTGTAGGTGTGTGTGTGTGTGTGTGTGTGTGTGTGTAGGTGTGTGTGTGCGTACGTACACATCCAATCTTTAATTTTGATCACACTCGACAGGCAGGATGAATTCCCCTCCACCTTTTAAATTACAGAAGCTGATGTCTTGTCATGTTTGTTCATTACGGAGGGAGAAGGCAGAGAGGAGGGAAAACAAAGAGGAAAACGGTATTGATTTGTGTTTCAGCTGGAGACTGATGCATTTGACCCGATGCACACTTTAATACATTCAGAGAGACCTTGTCATCGATCACGGCAGCTGCGAGTTGAACACGCCGACGCGGCCGATGTTCCGTTTTGTTTGTTTGTTTGTTTGTTTGTTTGCGCTTCCCCTTCCTTTCCTCTCTCCGCCTGCTCAGTCCACAAGTAAACATTAAAATCAATGGACAATCTTAAACTGCAAAGTAAATTGCAGGAAATGAATGATACTTTTCCCTCAATTGGAAACGCGACAGGATTTGCTGGGTGGGAGATTAGAGTGGGCCTTTGTAGATTCCCTCCGACAGGGAGAGGGGCACGTCTTACCACGGATCTTTGATCTATAAAGAAAATGACAGATGCCAGTGGCAACGTTTGCCCCCTAAGCCCCGCAGTCTCAGTCTATTCATGTCTCTGGATGATTTGTCCTTGATGACTTTTTGAAGCAGGTAGTGAGTTTATCTGATTACAGATGAAAAGCTTCTGTTCCCAGACCGCGAGCCGGGCCGAGACACCCGTCCTGTCAGTCATCACCCCTCCGCTCGCAGCAAATAGACGTGGATGAGAAGCAATACCGGAATTTATTTTTGTCAGCGCGATTGGTTATTTCACAGCTGCCCGTGGCCAGCTCACAGACGCAGTTATACAGTCCTGATGAAGCACATTTGTGGCTCCCGTTCGAACACACAGTCGGACCTGTCAATTGTGAAATTACTTTTTCTGAAAAAAAGAATTGAATGTAAAGGAGCCAATTTCAAAACTAATGTTTAGATGGAGGAAGCAGTGTCGGTGTTAAATGTTGCACAGAGCAGAAGTGTGTCGGCGTCTCGCGTCTTATGTTGGGTTACAGCGCAGACTAGTGGACAGAAGGAGTAATGTCAGAGCTTCTTCTATAAACAGCAGAAGTTATATGATTCAGAGCAAACTTGGTGATCTATGAAGTACTGAAGGAAACTGCTAAATATTTTCAGATGCCAGCTTCACCAACGTGGGTTTTACATCATTAACTTCATCTTTGTGACGAGGAGTGTCGATCACGGAAATGTTGTCGTGGCTTTACCAAAGTTTTCTCTCACATTTTGAATCGTACACAACAGTTTAACACTCATTTTCCTTCCATAACCTGCTGACCTTGTTTAAATGCACGTTTTATTTTGTGTAATTGTTGTGATTATTGAACCCTTAAAACTTAGCAAAGTCTATTTTATGCAAATTTCTAAGTCGCAGGAACAAAAATGAAGGTTAAAGTTTAAAAATGAAGCAGAATTTAGACGACAAAATGATAAATGTTTGATTTCTTCTTCCTCAGATTTATCGTGTCATGTCATACTAGACAAAGCTTTAACTAATTAACTAATAACTCGTTTGTAGTGGTCTATAATCTGCCATTTCATCGTGTTTGTGCTCCTCAGATTTCAGACCAGTCAGCCCAGTCCGTCCTACTGGGAGCAGATCCACAGCCGAGTCCAGAAGATGCTGCAGACGCACAAAACCAGCTTGGACCACCAAGTGTGCTTTGACCTTTAACCTGCTGCTCTGACCAGAACGTGACCAAATGACTGAAGGTTTCCCCGTTAAACCAGCTGCACCAGTAGCTCCTGTACCTGCAGTATTTTGTTGAAAAGCGTCTCACAAACAGACGTTAACACGCCTTAACCTCCAGATTTCATCGCTCTGTGAGCAGAACCGACTCACACATGTATCTTAATTTATCTCTCTTTCATGTTCATGTAAATTTCAAACCTCCTCAGCGCTCGCCGAGCCGCGTTAGTCGCCGCTGCTCTTTGAAAAGGCAGGAAATTTGCAGGGGTTACGTTCAAAAGCGTAGCAGCGCCGCTTCCCTCCCACCCATCAGCTGGGCTGTATTTTAAAATGCCCCGATGGTGAAACCAAACTGAGACGTCGTCTAATTTCTCCAAAGCCGTGTGTGAAATTGGCTCGGGTATAAAGAAGCAGCGTGGTTTTTTTTTCTTTCTTTCTGCATGTGTGTGTGTGTGTGTGTGTTGTGTGTGTGTGTGTGTGTGTGTGTGTGTGGGAAGGAGACGTCGTGGATGTAAGCTGCAGCTGTTAAGGGCTCATCTCTCACAACACAAAGGAGAGACAAGAAGGTAGCCAAGAGCCACTGCTGGGAGCCAGGAGCTACAAGAGACGGAGGAGATTTGAGGGAGAGCAGGAACAAAAGTAATCCTGAATGAAAGAGCAGGAGACACAAGGAGCTTTAGCCCTAACAGGAACCGAGATTCAGCTTCATGGAGCGGCGCTGGAAATCAGAGCTGTGTGGCGTTTGTGCCTCTGACACGCCGCTGATCGATGTGATCAGTCCGCCGGAGCAGCTGAATCACAACTTTTGTGATCGCTAATAAAACCGAGCGCAGCAGCGTTCTGAGCTCCACACAGCTACACCTCACATTCATCCTGAAACAGATAAACACACAGGATGTCTCATGTCATAGAGCAGGTATCATGATCACCTGTTCTTTGATCGCAGTCGTACATTTGGACTAAACGTGTAGCAAAGAAACTTCATAACATGTTGAACATTTGTGTAAATACAGATGAAAGGCGTCTCCTTCTGTGCTCAACAAGTGATGATACCAAACCAATCACACTAAAGGTGACGCTTTGTTTCCACATCGCTCTGTGTTCGTATACCAATCAGTCAGAACTCCATTCATTCCTGTTCCTCTGATGTGTTTGTGAAACTTCTCTTTCCATTTTTCTGTCCAGAGTTAGCCTCGAGTACGTTGAAAACCTAACTTTTGCAGTGGGTTGCAGAGAGATTGGACTGTGGATGCCAGGAAGTTGGAAAAAGTATTAACAGGCTGTTTGACTTTGTTAAAAGTAAAATCGTGTGCATGTGTAACTGCAGAAGAAACTAGTTTAGCTGGTTTAACACATGCTAGCGGGCTGCAAGGTGGCGCAGTTGGTTTGCACCGTCGCCTCTCAGCTAGAAGGTTGCCGGTTGGCGTTCCGGTGAGGACACCCAGGATCTTTCTGCGTGGAGTCTCCATGTTCTCCCCGTGCAGCGTGGGTTCTCTCCGGGTTCTCCGG